TGAAGGGACAGAAGAAGCAAGAATTGCAAGGTATTTTTTTGCAAGTACACAAAGAATTGGAAAGTCAGATCTTCGCTGCTTCCACCAAACTAATAGATCATTTGTTTCTGTTGGTTCAATTTCAGGAAGCATAAGATATTTGTCAATTTCTGTTTGCTCTATATATTCATCACGCTGCTGCCGAACTAAGGAAAAAAAGCTTTTCATTGCTGATTTTGTCTCTTTTGCAGCCTCTTCTCTAGATGAGCTTGTATCATTTTCAACTTGACTTGTACTTCTGTTTAATTCATTGAACTGATTTCGTAACCCTTCAATTGTTCTTTGTTTTAGTATCTAAGTATAAGAACAGATAGATTTTTTTAAATACTATGATGTGACTATGTGAGTGTTGCAAAGCTAAACCTACAAATCTTATTAGATAAGATTTGCAGGTTTTAGCTTTGCGGCACTTATATTATTTTACAAAATAGTATTTGAGGAATTTCGGGTGCTCTCAAGCATCTCTCTCAGTATAATTAGCTAACTATAGAGATTGTGCACAAGTACTATAATCAATTAAAGTAAACCTTATGGTAATTTTGTCGAAGATTCATGTTGCGAAATGCAAATATTAAATTTTAGCCAATAAGTACAACTCTATGATAAAAAAAGATGGTCTCTGACCATCTTTTTTTTTCTCATCGCAATAATGAACGAATAATTTATTTTTTGCTAATTAAAAATTGAACTCAATCTATTGATTTAAATGCTTGAGAACACCCTTCATTTAAGGTTGATCTGTATATTCGTAAAATAATACAAATAAGCACTGTATTATTTCACAAATATATTAGATATATTATATTTACGATTGAACAGAAAGATAGATTCTTGAATTAAGAATCGAGTAAAGATGCATACATTTCATAATTATGTGGCTGGGACCATCAACCTGACAGGTTAGTTAAAATTTCTTTTTTTACCTCATTTACAATATTGAAATCACTATTTGTATTATTTAGCTGGTGAACTAATTCTTCAATTGTTGGAACTATGATACTTAATGTAGCATAATTCGATTCGAAAAGAATTTTAGTGGTCTTATCAAATGGGCATAAAAATTTAACAAGAGTCTGTGCAACTTTGAATTCTTCATTTGATAATAACTTGTCACAAATATTAGCATTATCACGATGATGATTATTATTGTTTGAATTTTCAAGGTCATTGGTTAGCTACTTAATTGGCCGTTTGAGTTCAACAAGTCTTTCAAGAGCCATGTAGATGAAATTCTACCGTGTTGCTACATCTGTTATTATATCAACTATATTAGCTTTTAATATACCTACCCTGAGTTGTGCTTCTCTTAATTGTTTTCTTTTTTTTCTCCATTTAAAAGTGAAATTAGTGCTTTACATTTTGTAAGTAAGTTGTGTGCAACCTCTAAACCTGCTTCAACACTTAACTGCAATGTATACGCAGCACAAAAAATATTAGCAATTGGGCTTGAGACTGAAAGTCTTTCTGATAATCATGTAACAGCTAATTTAACATTAAAGCCATTATCCGTAGTTATACTTAATAGTTTACTTCCTTTTAGACCAAATTCTTCAAGCATAGGTTCGATAGAACTAACGATATCATCAGCGGTTTTATATACACCCATTTCGATTACATCTAATGTAAGATCATAAATGCAAAATTCATCTGAAATCCAGTGGCAGGTTATGCCTAGATAAGAATCATGCGCTCGAGAAGTTCATAAGTCAAATGTAAGCGATACCATATTTATTTGTGTAAGCATACGTTTAATAACTTGAGTTGTATGATTTGTTCTATTTACTATTTCATTTTTAATTGTA